GTAGTTGCATGGCATCTAATGGGAAATACACTGAAATACACTTAGTTCTTATAAAATAGTTTTAGATCATCTTCCGATGAGAGATTTGGATGCCAAATTAGGCACCAAAAAAATCACTATATTGCTCCCAAGAAGTATGCTACCAGCAATGTGTGCCGTATGTGCACTAGAGCAGTGGATCGCATACTAAGTGTCGCGACCCACTTCACTAGTAGGTCGCGGAAGCAATTTGGGTGGGTTTCAGAAACAGATTAAAAATACATAATACTTTTTAATGGTTTTTCCCATTTTGGATAAAGACTAGAGGAGAGTATCAAGTTCTTTCGAACATAACCTTAAAGAAGCTGATGGGATTTTCAACCACATATTTGTGTGGGAGGGCATTCTCCATTTGGTTTATTTAAAAAATAAATATAGAATAAATATAGGCTTTCTGTGGAAAGTGACCTGCGTTTAAAGCTTTCAACTTTCAACCCAGATATAGAATCTCTTGTAAGTCGTAAACACCAGCTCCACGAATAACATTTTTTCATTTATTGTATAGTTTTGAGATTCTCAATTAAAAGTCTTTTTCGTACTGTATTATATCATCTTTAGCATTTTCTTCTAGAGGTGTATTCCTCAATAGTAAATTTTTATGATAATAATAATAAAAATATTATTAGTGATAATAATTATATTTAATACGTGGGTCGCGAAAAAAATCCTCGATGAAGGTGGGTCCCCAGGCAAAATAAGTTTGGGAAACGCTGCACTCGAGAATGGTTTGAAGACAAATATTTAATGAATGTCTTTTAGATCGTGCCTCATTCCCAAAAGGTGCTTTTTTATGAGTATTGTCATTTTCATTATAGCTCTCATATCATATTTTCCTTTGATTTCAGTGCAAAATGGCAACGAGAAACCACCTGAACCAAAGGAAATAGAAGAAGACACAGATATAATCGAGAAGAGTATAGGAGTTTTAGGACGATGGCATATATGGGTATGCTTCGTAATATTTCTAGTGAAATTTCCAGTGGCCTGGCATCAGCTGAGTATAGTTTTTGTGGCTCCACGGGTGGATGTTTATTGCATCGATAACAATACAGATGTATGCTCGAAAAACTGTCAGAATTACCTGTTCAACACGTAAGTTCGAACATATTCACTTGAAATTCTGTAATTTAACACCACTTCCATTAAAAACATGTGTGCGTCTCGGGACGCCTGACAGAAGTGATAGCTTAAAGTAGTCTAAGTTGAACTATTTGATATTGAAATAGTTTAACTTGAGAAAAGATTAGGTTATCACTTGAATGTTATGCATACAGTGGCATTTCTTCAATGTCCCCCTCCCTTTATTTTTTGACCGGTCAACTCAAAAAATTTAAATTTGAGATAATGAAATCAATGCATGAATACTTTATTTTGAAGTGAAATTGACAAATGAAACTTTCAAGATGGCGACTGGGCGCCATCTGGGAAAAAAATTAAATGAAAAGGGGGTGTTGTGACACATCATTTTGAAGCTCCTGCCAAATACTTTACAACCTCAGAATATGAAGTCAATATCTTTACCTACTACAAAATGGCGAAACTTTAAATAATTTCCTGAAGACAAACACATTAATATGGATATTTCTAGAAATATTCCTTTTTATCTGCCTTATGGCAATTTCAACAACCCGATAAGGTTTGTTAAGTTATTTTTTATTTATAAAAAATTGGAGTGACACCAACCCTCACGTTTTCCGGGAAACGCATACCCAATATCCAGAAAAAAATAACGTTTGGGCAGGAATATTGGCAAACCATATTGTAGGACCTCTATTTATCGATCAAAATTAAACAGGGGAACTATATTTGAATACGCTGGAAACTACTGTTGACCCTCTCATCACTGAAATCCTAATGAATTTGATGTGGATATTGTATTCCAACAAGAAGGAGCACCACCACATTACTCCAGACAAGTGAGAAACTATTTGGATAATACTTTTCTCGGTTGTTGGATTGGCCGTCGAGGTCTTACAGAATGGCCAGCCCGCTCTCCAGATTTGACACCTTTGGAATTTTTTTATGGGGCTAGTTGAAGCAAAAGGTGTACGAATCTGAACCTGCTGGATATACGGTAGAGAATAATAAATATTTGTAGAGATATTGACGTTACTGTTTAAAAAAAATCTGTTTTTTCGTTAACCAGCTGTCGCAACCCTCAGAAGTCCAAACTTGTGCGAGCTAAGGATTAACGAGGTCTTACCTTTTACGTAACTGTGTTCGAGAATGTTCGGCGTGAAATATCGAATAGGCTGTTCATATGTCAAGAAGTTCAAGGCAACCTTTTCGAGCATCTTCTGAAATGACCTCAAGCCTAGTACCTCATATTATGTGGTTAAATGTCAATGTATTCAGGCAATTATTAAAAGTTTCGCCATTTTGTAGTAGGTGAAGATATTGACTACATATTCTGGGGTTGTGAAGTATTTGTCAGGAGCTTCAAAATGATATGTCACAAAACCCCCCATTCCATTTGATTTTTTTCCCAGGTGACGCCTAGTCGCCATCCTGAAAGTTTCATCTGTTAATTCTACTTCAAACTAAAGTATTCATGCATTAATTTCATTATCCCAAATTCCAATGTTTTGAGTTGACCCGTTCAAAAAATAAAAGGGGGTGACATTAAAGTATTAATATGATAATGTAAGGAAAGGTTATTTATCAATAGAATCTTTTATTGATTATTTTATGTATGTACATATATTATAGCTACCATAAGCCAACCGTTGTTTTGTTGGATTAAATAATGATACTAATAATGTACATACACAAAATAAGTATAATTATTTTCAAGCTACGTTTCATATAATAAAAAATATTACGTGCTTGCGGGTTAGATTTTCATAATACTATTAACATTGCATGTCTAATGCACACTAAACACTGATCAACTGTCCGACGAGAGAATAAGAAGGAGCCTGCCTTCCGTTAACGTACGCGTGAGAGAAAGGGAAACCAGACAAACTGGCGCCGTTACGCGTTAGGTAACACAGTGGTTAACCTTCACTTCAAAAATAGTTGACACCTCCACTTACGAAGAGGTCATCTGTGGGATCAACAGAAAACCCAATCCAGGAATATCTATGATACGCATACAAAGCTTTCAAAGCCAAGCCAAGCTTCGATATTTGCTGCCGAATGAAATTCGTTCTCTATTTTTGTTTATGTTAAAGCTTGGCTTTGCAGCGGACCTCCTTATCAGCAGTACTAATATACACATAGCAGATCAAAAGAGCACTGTCTGGTATTGGATTACGAAACCTTTTCTATTTGGAATCTGGTTTCATCTAGTTGATTTGCTGTGAAAGCTGCGAAGCGAAGAAAAATGAAGAGCGAATCTCATTTGAAGGTCAATGTTGAAATGTGCCTTGGCAACGCATCACCTTGAGAAACCTCGTATAATATTGATATTCATGGATTGAGTCGATCCCAGCATAGTTGGCGTTATGGTGAAGGGATATTTCATTGCCTTATCTAATTCTGGCTGATACTTTACAATACATGTTGATATGCAATATGACTAACAGTTTAAATCAACAGAAATTTGCAAATGATCATATGGTGTAAATGTTTATGATAAAAAAGGAAACGGTCTTGTCAGAAAAAATCTTGATTGATTCGAAGATTGAAGACTGATTTCCCAATCTCAGGGATTGCAATTAGTTCTCGTCTGTTTCAATGTATATTTGAATGATTTCACAAGCTACCTTATTCATCCCAATTTACAGTATTTAAAATAGAATAAGTAGTCAGTATTTAGGTAACGCTTCCTCTTCAAAGAGAAAGATTAAAACTGATTTAATCTTCACTTCATCTTTGAAGATGATCACTTGGTGATCGAAACACGTGTCGAGGTGTTAAAAATAACGATTTGGTGTAGGGAAACAACTCCAGTAATATTCATTACTACACCAAAGGTTCCAAACAGTGCATCATAAGTAACGCTTGTATACTTATTACGTATCACAAATTTGCTATTTGAGTAATATTTTGAAGGAAATAATGACGTATGTTCGGAAAGTAATATGGTGTTTTGATTTTTTATAGCGTTCTTCGATTTATGATGCAGATTTTTTTTTTATTTTCTCTATTCTAAATATATCGGAAACTTTTTCTGAAGAACATTTTTGAGCAGATTTATAGGATTCGAAAGAGTGAAATAATGTCTATGAGAATGGTTCACACTCAAGAAAATATTGAAATGAATTTCATTGATGTGACACATGAAATGCAAATTTCTTCGACAAAAGTATCGTAGCATAACTCACAACATTTTCAGTGAATTGAAAAAGAACAGAAAAGTTATCAACCAAAATGCACAGATTAGAGTTATATTCTAAGGTTCTGGAAGCACCGCCAAATCTGATGGAATTATCACATAAAACACGAAAGAGAAATTACTATTTCATCATCACTAATTTTATCATTTGCACGTGTTGTTGAATGCTATATCCGTCAATGGTGATTCGGCAAAACAAACTGACAACTAATTTGGCAGATGTAGCTTCAACAAGATGGCTGTTATCAATTATCAAAGTTTGGAAGTCCCTGTTTACTCTAATCAACAAGTTCAAAAACATGAAAAATAGAGATAAAGGTCCTAAAAATATGAGCGATAGCTCATTCGATTCGGAATCACCTCTAGAAAAATGTTTACAAAGGATTTTGGTGTAGGTAAAAAATTGCAATTGTTATCAACAAAATAAGATTAAAAAAAAAATGGGTATTTAGTTTTTCGGTAATAACTCAAAAAATATTAATATTTAAGCAATTTTGAAAAAAGCTC